TATACATAAAATAATTTTCAATATATCAAATAATACATAATGTATATGAAGTCCTTTATAAATCCTAAACTACTATACAAATTATCATTATCAGAAAAACAAAAAGACCAGACAGTAAAATGTAGCAACACAAGGGAGATCAGGTTTCCCAGTCTGCCAAATACACTAGCATAGAAATATAGGTTCTTAGAGTCTGGAAAGACTTTAGGAATCATTTTTTCCAGTTATTTCTTTTCCTTGTCCTCTTAAATAGTGAATTAAAGTTACTAGATAGTAGCTTTTACTATTGCTAAAATAGAAATGTAAAGATGTTACCTATGTTTATAGAATCATAGGACACTGGAGCTGAAAGGGACCTTAGAAATTATTTAATTCAACCCCTTCATTTTACAGTTGGGAAAATTAAGAGGGGGCAGCTAGGTGGCACAGTGGATAGAGCACTGGCCCTAAAGTCAGGAGGACCTGAGTTCAAATCCAGCCTCAGACCAAACATTGACACTTACTAGCTGTGTGACCCTGGGCAAGTCACTTAACCCCAATTGCCTAAAAAAAGAAAAAAAAAGAAAATTAAGAGGCAAATGACTTGCTCAAGGTCACACAGCTGGTGCTAAACCTAGGATTTAATCCACAGCATGACTCCCATTCCAAGTACTCCTTTACTACAACCAAATTTTTATCCCTATAAATTTTTAATGCTTCAATTGTTATAGTCAAAAATTATAGCTCTTAAAATGTATTCTGTCATCATAACTCTAAATCTCAGATAATAAACTTCAAAAGAAGACAGAAGAATTTACACAGTACTTAATCAGAAAATATGGTTTTCGTAAGCAATAAACACATAATAAATTGTCAAGTATTCTTTGTACTTATAAAACAATTTCCACTTGAAAATATCCATGTGTTTTGTTCGTATTTATTTCTTTGGTGCTTTTAATGAAACATCTGCCACCTCTGACCACATTTACATCCAGAATATTAATTCTTGTGAAGACCCTACATATGACATTGGGCTTTCCTAATGATTCTAACTGGTCAGGTTGTTCAAGAGAAAGACAGTCCCAGAGAGCACAGCTGGGACCACCTGGCAGAGTGTGTGACCCTGAACATTTTCCTAACAATTACAGATGTCTCAAAGTGGAATGGGCTACTGGGGAGGTTCCAAGTTCCTAGGTAAGTCTGTAAGCAGATCTAGATGACCTCTGGGCTGGGAGTCAGAAGAATCCTACTCAGTGTCAAGTTCTGTTTCATACTAGCTAGGTGACCTTGGGCTAGTCAAGTTCCATTTAAACACAGAGAAAGAATTAAAGGCCTCTGTTGGATTTGGACAGGACCACGTGACCTTTGAGCTCTAGCTCATCTCTTGGAATTCCATGGTTCTATGGTAAGAAATGGTTTTCTCTGAGTCACCTCACCTACATACCATAGAATTTTTTTTTTCAGCAAAAGACTGAAGTCAGAGGATTTGGGTTAAAATCCCACTTCTGATACATATTACCTGTGGGATATTTTTGTTGTTTGTTGTTGTTTAGTAGTTTTAGTTGTGTCTGACTCGTTGTGACCCCAGTTGGGGTTTTCTTGGCAAAGATACTGGAGTGGTTTGCTATTTCCTTCTCCAGCTCATTTTACAGATGAGGAAACTGAGGCAAAAAAAGGTTAAGTGACTTACCCAGGGTCACAGAGCTAGGTAAGTGTCTGAGGCCAGATTTGAACTCAGGAAGATGAATCTTCCTGACTCCAGGCCCAACATTCTATCCACTAGCTGCCCATGGGGTATTGGACAAGCCAATTAACTCCCCTGGTCTTCAGTTTTCTTACCTGTAAAATGAGGGCATTAGACCAGATGACCTCTGAGGTCCCTTTGAGCCCAATATTTACAGTCCTATGACCCCATACACAGGGATCTTCAGCTTTAAGTAACTCTGCGGGTCTCACAAGGTTGGTATAATGTGAAGAGGGTGGTGTTCTGTAAAGGGTAGGACCAGTGTGTGGCAGATGGTGGGAAAGCACACTCATATGCTAAAAATGTTACGTGTTGGTACAAACTGAGCAGGTAAATGGAAGGGAAGATAGCTTGGCCATCGGTTCATTTGTGCCCCATTGGTTTTTGCTACTGAGTTGTGTTTACCTACCTATTGTGCCTTCGCCCCTACCCCCACCCTTGCCAGCCATCCTCTGGAGAAACAACTCCTGTGGCCAGCCATCCCCACCAATTGCTGACCAGTCATCACCTACAGGTCAGGCAATCTGGCCTAGTTGGAGCAACATGGCACCCTGAGGGAGACACAACGTGGCCTGTGCCAGACAAGATGAAACGCCACCACCCCTTCGACTACCATCTTTTTTTAAACTCGGTTGGAGATAGCTCAGGAATTTGAACTCACAAGCCTTGGGAACAGCAGCACCCTCCCCCACCCACTGAAATAAATAACTAGAATTTGTAGTGTGTCTTTCTTCCAGCCCAGGTCCCACAGGCATCATGGAGATGTGGCCTGAAAATTTCCTCTTATAGCTACTGTAACCACAGTAACCAGAAAGGACAGTTCTTGCAGCCAAAATCTTAAATGTTTCAACATCAGGAACTGATGTGATTTTAACGGTGGAAATGACATTAAAGATGCATTATCACCTGCTGTGCTGCAGAACCCTAAGGACCATGGGTTTTTTCATCCGATTTGCTGCTGAAACCTTCTATATCTCCCTCACATGAGCTCCTTGAGAATGGGGGCTATCTTACCTCCATATGTGTATCCCCATGCTTTGCATGTAGTAAGCGCATGATAAATGCTTTTTCATTCATTCATTTGTTGCTTTTCAATTCTTACCTTTTTTTTTTTTTAAATTTTGGCCTGTTTGGTTCTTCTCTGCTCATTGATGTGTTACTTGTGATTACCAGCAATTGACTGAGTGCCAAGTTTATAGGGTGGAAGGAAAGTAGGGGGAGGGGAGGCTGCTGATGCATCTCTAGGAACTGGAGCCATAAAATGACGTTAGCTGTTGTCATCAGTAACTTTTGGCTTCATATCATGTTTGTCCTGATTTAGATGGTTTTGTTGGAATCATAAACCCAAAATAGCCATTACATATCAACATTGGAGGCTGTTTTAATCTAATTATTTGTTCTTCCCTGGTGGGGGTATTGAGTGAGTTTGCACCCAAAATACCAGTGTAGGCTGAGAAGAAAATGTCACCTTCGTGTGACTTTGTGGAACTGAAAAGACCAAATTCATCCCCCCTGCCTAGACAAGGTGACAAGTGTCTGGGGCAAACCCAGCCACATCCCTAGTGCCAGAGCTCAGCGGGGCCATAAACACAACCCTACGGGGACAAAGGATGAGATTTAAACACTCTTCATGCTGTAATAAGCGTGGACAAAAGGCAGGAGATGTTCAGGCTGATTCCTGTTCTTAATTCAAGCCTCCATGAACGCATGGAATGACAGTACCCTATAAGTGAAAAACCTCCACAGTTTCTGTTGAGGATGGGGTGGGGGGTTGGGAGGGTGGAGTGGATGCTAGTGTTAAGTTTCTTGTTTTTAATTTTCATTTCTGTTACTGTAATTGAACTGTAATTAGCTTTCACATTTAAAAAAGAAAATATTGGGAAGTTTGACCCAAAGAAGATGAGAAAATATGACTCTCACTCTTATGCAGAAGTGTGTTTGGGGGGTAACATAATAACAATAATATCTAATATTTACCATGGCACTTTAAGATTTTACAAAGTGCTTTACATGTGTTTTCTCATTTGATCCTCAAGACAACCCTGCAAGATTGATGCTATTATTATCACCATTTTTACAGAGGAGAAAACTGAGGTAGAGGTTAAGTGACTCTTCCAGTGTCACACAGCTAGTAAGTGTCTGAGGCAATATTTGAACTCAGATTGTTCTGACCCCACATTCTGCACTCTATGCACTGTGCCACCTAGTTATGGGTAGAAGATGTTGAATATACTGTCAGGCTTTGTCGATGGTCTGATTAGTTTTGGTGAACTTATTTTTTTTTCTCTTTTTAATTCTTTCTTATAAAGGATGGCTCAGTGGGTGGAGTAGCAGATGTATTTGGAAATGAAGGTGATGTAAAAACAAAATATTGCAATAAAAATATAAAAAAGAAAATTTTAAGAAGGATGAAACTTCACGGCTAACTGAGGGAAAACTATTTTGGGTTAGTATGGGTCCAGATAGGTTTTATATGTATATATGTGTATACACACATACATGCATACATGCATATATGCACACATGTGAATGCACACAAGACTTTCTCTTTGCCAAAGGGTATGACTTACCTCATAGTATAATGACTAGATCCACTAGACTTGGAGTTAGGAAGACCTGGGTTTGAATCTTGCCTCAGATACTAGTTGTCACTTAACCCCTCTGAGCCCTTGTTCCTTCATCTGCAAAATGGGATAATAGTGCTTATCTTATATACCTAGCTTATAGTGCTTAGTGTGACCTATTATCAATATCTAAAAGAGCACCATAAATTTAGGACAGTAGATTAACCTCTACCATGCCCCTTTTATATAGTAGGTATGGTCCTGAAAAGACACAAGCAAATCCAAATTTTGTAAAGCAAGTCACATTTTAAATGTGCTAAGGCAGCTTACGATTTCAAGGAATCCTGTGGTGAGCCTTTTTGTTAACAAAGGAAATTCTTTTTTAAAAGTAGACAATCTGACATCTGTAAATCTCATTTTTTCCATATGTTGGGTTTTCTTACAGTGAGGTACAATATAATGAGTAGGCACCTACATTTGTGTTACCTAGGTGTTTTCTGGTAATAGGATTTGCAAATATTTACCTTGTTAGAGGCCTATAAAACTTCTAGTTACCAACAAGAGCTTTTGTAGGTCTCTAATGAGGTCATTTTCAGGACAGCTGGAATATGATATTTCATCATATTATATATTCTTATTAATAATTATATTCATTATAATGTATGGGAAATATTTTGCATATTTCTTACAAAAGTAATAAAGCATCTCCCACTTTTCCAAATTTCAGTATCCTGGCTTTAATTATTTTGCCTTCATAGTTGTAAGAATTACCAAACCATAATAACACAGGTTGGCTTATTTTTTTTCCACTTCAGGTGGTAAAAAGATGTGTTTGAGTTATGCAAACAATAAATTATGTCTGTAAGTTGATTCTCTTTTTAAAACAACATTTTGCAACTTAAAGATATGCGTTGTTGGCATAACAATGTCAATGTTTCTCCATTGTCTCTGGAAAGAGAGCAGCTCTCTGCTAAGTAATGATTATATCACATATGCTACAGATTTCTTAGAAACAGGGCAAGTAATTCATTTCCAGAGGAGTACAGATGTTGCTACATAAACACTCTCAGTGTTTGTAACTCAGCAGCGCAATGGGGACAAGGGTAGGTGAGAATTTTTGAGACTCCAAGTATGGGGTGATAGTGAGGAAAACTTCAGATGTAGAACTCTTCTATTTCATGAGTCGGGGAGGACTCTGCAGCAAGTTGTTGGAGGTTGTCACTAGTTTCCCTGATTTCTGAAGAGTGGGAAGCAGGGGGGCCAGAGGTCTCCTTGAGTGTAGAGGAGGATGCGAAGGGAGAAGCTGTAGACGAAGGGGGAGAGCCGGACGACCCCTCGGTAAATGAGGAAAGGGAAGTGCAGGGGGCCTCAGCTGTCATGCTGCTTGAAGCAGATAGCGGCCTTCCTTTGGAAGCTCCCAGTTTTGGCTGATGGGGGTGACATTTTCTTGGGGGGAGGAAAGTTTCCAAATTATTGCAAAACCCACTAGGAGCTGAATAAGCCGAGACCACAGACAAGTCCGAGAAGGAAAGCTTTAGGCCTGTGTCCACATCAGTTTCCTGGGCACCTTCTAAGTCATCGACAGACAGCTTGGGGTTCTGTTTCTGTTCTGATGCCTCTTCTGCTGGGGAGCCTCTGCTTAAAACCCACAGTGGTTCAACCAAGGGCAAAGAGTCAGAGGCAAGGGGAGCTCCTCCAGTGGGCAGACAAAACAGTGATTTGCTCCTCTGGAATGACCAGGGAGGGTGATGAGCACTGCTGTTTCTTTGAGTCCGTCCTCCCTGATTCCCGGGAGGTAGGTCGGGCTGGTAGAGGCCACTGGCTGGACCGCCTAATTGCTGCTGCTGGCCGCTGCTGAGTGTGCGACTCCGTGGAATGAAGCTGGATGAAGGGGGGAAGGAAGGAGTCTTCTCCGGGTAGAAGTGAAGCTTGCTGGCTTTAGAAGATTTTCTATATAAACTGTGTGCCTGTCGGGAAAACAGGGAATACTCCATTAATATGGGATTGTTTGTCTCCTGGTGGCACATTTGCAAAGTTATACTTGCTGTAAATCATTCTCTTGAATCATTGGAAAAGCCTAAAGGAACACCATGACAACTCAATGGGAAGAGGATATTGTACTTGGATGTACAACATTAATAATTAATAACATAATAAAATAATTAATAATATCAATGAACAATAATATTAATAATTTAAGTACATTGTACTTATGTCAGCAAAAAAAAAACCCCTACCAAATTATATAGGAAAGATCAATCTAGCCCAAGCATCACAAATCCTCACTAAGACTACTTTATAAACTATGTGGGGTAATCCAAACTCATGGTGAAATGAAATGTTTCAAAAAAGAGATTTTGCCCTTCCTGAACAATAAATTCCTTTAAATACCAGAGAAGAGTGGAATGCTGCTCCCAGAGAAGGAAGAAGCTATTTTCTTTCTTTCCAGAGACATCTTAATATTAGTGAAAGGAGCAATGGATTTGGTGTCAGAGGAGGGGATATTCAAATCTAGCTCTGCTTACTTACTACCTGTATGACCTAAGGTAAATATTACTTAACCTCTCTGGGTCTCAATTTTGTTATATAAAATGGGGAGAGGGGCAGCTAGGTGGTGCAGTGGATAGAGCTCTGGACTTGGAGTCAGGAGGACCTGAGTTCAAATTTGACCTCAGACATATAACACTCACTAGCTGTGTGACCCTGGGCAAGTCACTTAACCCCTTTGCCCCATTTAAAAAAAAAAGGCGAGAGGGGTGTGCAACATGATCTATTGAGCTCTTTCCACCTATAAATCTATGACCCTAGGAACCCAGGAAAATGATGGAGTAGGAGTAGGAGTAGTAGTAGTAGTAGTAGTAGCAGTAGTAGTAGTAGTAGTAGTAGTAGTAGTAGTAGTAGTAATAATAATAGTAATAGTAGTAGTAGTAATAATAGTGAGAAATGAAGGAGGGCAAAACAGAGTTAGATTATAGAGACCGGTGAAAACTGCCTACATGACCTTGGAGAAGTCACTTAAACTTGCTGGGCCTCAGTCTTCTTCTGAGTAAAATAAGGAGGTTGGATAAGATGGCCTTTGAGGTCCTTTTCAGCTCTATAAGGCAGGGGACGTAGGGAAGCAATGGCGGTTCCTCACTCCATTCTCCCTGTCCCTCAGTGTTACAGCACATATGGAGAAAGCTAGTAACATCTTATATTCCCCTGGGTTACAGAAATGCATGCATGTAGTTTTTGGCTGGATCAAATTTGAAAGGCCCAGACTTAAACCAGCCTGCTCAATTTTAAAGCCCATGTCAGGGTTAAAATAAAATCCTAGGGTTTGCTACAACTGAGGAAGCTAAACAAGCCCTGGAATGAGTGAAGCACAATTAAGAAGAAAAATTACCTAAAATTCCATGAATCTCTCCCCAGAAGCCTACAAACAATTAGGAGGTATTGATTGTTCTCTCTCTTAATACCCCATCCACTTTTTATGGTAACACGACTGTCCAGTAAACTATGGGAGTCATTAACTACCAGGCTTAATCCCAACTGCCACAGATTCTCTGCAGGGATTGGGCATTTGCCTCTCCTTTAGTTCTATTTCCTGTACTTCTGTTTTCGGTTCACTGCTTTCAGAAATTCAGAAAAGAAACCTGCTGTTCATTGTTGCTTAGAACCTACAAGCCTTGCCTTAAATGCAGCAGCCACTTGTACCCTCCTGTCCTAGCTTTCTCCCTGTTGTATACCCAGAGTCTCGCACACCTGACACATAGTAAGTACGTCATAAATGCTTATTTATCGACTGATTGTATATCTCTGCCACTCCAAGGACCCTCACAGAGGGACTGGAGAGACTGGTTCTCTTTGTGCTTTGGTTCCTGATTTATGAAGTACTGGCAGTAATAACAGTCTGGGTAACTTACACGGTCCCTTATAGCTCTTTAACCATTGACCCAACGCTTTACAAAGCACTTTCCTCAAAACATCCCTGTGACGTACAAGCAGTCCCCTTTTACAGCAGAAGAAAGTGAAACTCAGGAGAAATGGCTCACTCAACTAGCATGTGCAATAGAACTGATATTAGAACCCACTTCTCCTGGCTCCAAGTCCAGTGCCAATAAATCTCACTGCCTCTAATAGTAATAGCTCACATTGACAGGAAGTCTCGAAGTTGACAAAGAGAGTTAGTATGGCATAGGGGATAGAGAACAGCACCAGAGTCACAAAGACCTCGGTTCAAATCCTGACTTTGACATATACTAGCTGTTTGACCATGTTAATCAACAAGTCAATTAACCTCTCAGTGCCCTAGGGAAATTCTCTAAGATTATAAGGAGTTCCATTTTGACATCAGGGGTGTCAAACACCCATATGCGGCCTACCATACTCCCTAGCACCAGAATCAGATTAAAAACGTAATTGGGAAATATTCAACAAAATAAATGAAGATATAATAAAGCACATAATATTGATCCGTGGTTTTCTAAGTCAATATGCAGACTTCAGGAACCTCATGTATGGTTTAGTGGCCCCCTTTAGATCTGAGTTTGTTACCACTGCCCAACATAGATCAAGTGACTTAAAATTGATATTTAGAAATAATATTGGTACTGTGTTTTCTCCTTCTCTGCCATTAATACTATATTTGTCATATAAAAGGGGCTTGTTGATGTGCTTTCTTTCTCAATTTTTGAGAATAATTTATATGATATAGGTATTAATTTTTCTTTAAAAATTTGATACAATTCTCAAAATTCATTAGACCAGGACATTCCCCCCAAGGGCCCCCACCCCACGCCCTTTGTTAGTCCCTTTACAGCTAATTCTATTTCCTTTATGAAACTGGATTAAATATTGCTACTTGGAGGCTGTTAATTTAGATATTTTATGTTTTGAAGGTATTCCTCTATGTCTTTTGTGTTCTTGGTTTTGTTGGCATGTAACTCTGCATAGAAGGTTCTGATAGCTCTTTTTATTTCCTCTGATTTTGTTGTGATTACAATTTGTTCATTTAAAAATTTTTTATTGAGCCCTGTGTAATTTTTCATCTTTTTAGTGTTTTTACTATCAGACTCTTTTCATACTGACTTGGATTTATTGATGGAGTGAGCTTTAGATATGAAACCCACCCCTGACATGACTCATTGGTTAAGGCACAAATACAACCTTTGCTATATTAGTATTATTGCTCCCATTTCATAGAGGGGAAAACTGAGAGGTAAAGTGAAATTTCATGATTGCACAGATAAATGTTGGAGCAAGGAACTGAATTCAATCCCCTAAATGCCATTTCCAGAGCTATTTCTACTACAACACATTATTAATCTCTATGCAATGTCTCTTGGCATCTGATGGATTGAAAACCTCTACTAGTCCTCTAGACATCAGAGAACACCCAGCTACACAATTAGGCAAGAGACTGTTTTTGTCCCAAACACAGCCCTTGTGTAATCTCAGGAAAAGACTTTCTTTGCAGGCACTGAGGAGACATATCCCTGACAATGGTGTCAGAAAATCCATGGTGGAAGATGGCCACCTCTGCAGGCAGGAGTCGAAATGTGTTCACTAGAAAATGAGGCAAGTCAGGGGGACTGAGCAGGTACGGGGAATGGTACTGTGACTGACAGGGAGACAAAACTACAGCTTGCACCCGAGACCAGAGGAGGCATGAGTGACGGCATATTGAGAGTGTGAGCCCAGGTAGTTTGTGTGTTGGGAAACAGTCAGGAAAAATTCCAGTGTATTGGAGACAGAAAGTGAGACTGTTTTCAGGAGCTCTGGTGGTAATTCTGTGAAGAGGAGTTAGCATGACCACTAGGACAAGTGGGGAGGTATGCTCTTTCTGCACTAAGGCTGGAGCTGAGAAGGTAGCTAACATGGGAGGCTGAGATCTAGTGCTTTTCACACACAGCAACAGAAATACTGGGGCGCCACGCTATGTATGTCTCCTTCAGATTATGTTTATTTAAATGGCAAATTACTGTTGCTTCTCATAGTTTCAATAAGAGTATAGATAATGCCTAAGGGACACAAGAAGACCAGACCTCAGGACCTGAGTGAAACCAGTGGTAACTGTCTGCATATTTAGGCGTGGATGTGAGACAGATGGGATGTTCTGGCTGAACCCATTAACTAAATTATGGTGGAAATCAATGGGGAAATTATTTTGTTTATAAAAATTCATTTTACAGAGGAGGTTTTAGGAGCACACCTGTCTTATAAAGTGAGCCATGCCATGTGTAGGAATGCAAGATATGACTTTCTTGCACCTCCCATCAATTTACTGCTAGACCACCTTGTGTCTTTACTGGCAAGATTTGAGGCCTGACAATCAATTCTGAAGTGAACAACACCTGAGTTCTCTGTGATTTAAAAGCTCTTTTCCTTCTAAGTTTCACCGGTGTTCATTGCTACTGCCTTGGTCCAGACCACCCACAGAAGTAAACCTCACCCCCACTTCACGTCAGCTGAAATCTTTATTCATGTTTAATCAAGTTTCAGTTCCGTAACAACATTCCCCTGCTTCTTCAATTCCTGTTTGCTCAGCTCCAGGGATTTCCTAATGCTGCAGTCAAACACCTCTCTCCCCTCACACTAGGGACATCTGGCCACTTTTTCAGTTCTTTATAGAGGCTTCCCATCAATCACTGGGCTCTCTGTGTATTCCCTCCATGATGCCATTTTGATCCCGTCTAATACTCTCCCTGACTGAACAGGCATTCATGTCTACTCAGTTACCTTTTCTTTTAGCTGGGCTATGTTTAGCCTGGAGTAGACTAGGTCTTCAAGTACTTGAAGAACTGTCATGTGGAAGACAGATTAAACTCATTCCAATTTGGCCCCTGGTTCTGTAGAACTAGCAGCAAGGAGGGGAAATTACTGAGTTGAGGAAAGATTTAGGCTTGATGAAAAACCAAACCAAAGCAATATATAAATAAATACAAGCAAAAACCAAACAACCCCTCCCTCCCAAAATCCTAACAAT